TCTATGACGACGATGGTGTCTAGTCAGATTTTAGTACGGTGGTCGTGGCGGAAATAAATAGGAGTAATGTTCAGGGGCCGGCCAAAAAAAACGGTGAAACGGAAATAAACGAAACCCCGGGAGAGGTCAGATGAAATGGTGTTCTATGCGGACCCAATGAAGTACTGTTTATTCAACCAGCCGGAAATGGAGGTAGAAGGACTCACGATCGCAGCAAAAACCTTCCCGACGTCTTTGTGGGTCTGAACTTGCCGAGCTGCGAGCTGTGTTTGTTGAATGGTGAGATGGGCCTGCTGCGCAGTGAGATGGGCCTGTTGCACTTCCAGCCGCAGCGCCGATGCAGCCTAAATACCGTTAAAGATTGGTAGGAAATATAAGAGCTTGAACTAAACGTACCAAAAAGTCGCGATACGCGTCATCTAGTTGGGCCTTGATGTCCTGGAGCACACGCTCATTGCGGTTGAGGTGCATGACCCGCGAGACACCACCGGTTAGGACGATTGTCTCCATGCGGCACCGGATCTCGTTGAGCAGCCTGTGTGGCAAAACTATAAGTCCTCAGTGTACCCAAGGTTTGAGGGTCTACGGACAGGATGAAGCGCTCGATACTCTTAAGCAGCGGCAGGGGAATCGCTGAGGCATCGGGGACCGCATCCGCGATAAGGTCGAGAATCTCCTTAGTTCGCAAGGCGGTGGCCCGGGCGTCAGAATTGGAATCACTGCGTTCCCACCCCCCGTAGACCGACCTCTGTCTACGTAGTTCTACATGCGGCGACATGCGGCGACCTTCAACTACGTCCAGCTACCTATGTGTACACCGGACCTGTGGCGAGCTTGATCTACGTCCGGCTACCGTCCGTCTACATGCCGTAGACACGGTCTGTCTACCCGTCGGCTACCCGTCGGCTACGTAAGTCTACCTGCGTCTACGCGGTAGACATATGTAGACCCACCTCGCTCAACTTCATGACACAGATTTTGCTGTTCTACCGAATAATTAAGTTCAAATGACCATTCTTTAGGCATCCCGCTGCTTCATAGGTGCATCGGTAAGCGCCAAAAATGAATAGCTCCGCAATTCAAGCTTCCATCAGCCCATCAATCCGAGCCGACATCATTGAACGCCGTTGCCAAGCACAGCCATCAATGATGATCAACCGCTGCGAAATCTCGTGAAATCTTGGGAAATGCCACACTTCAACTTGATTCTCTTTGAGTTCAAATTGACTCAGGTGCATGTACATGTGTCTACATCTGGCTACGTGTGGCTACGTGCGGCTACGTCGGTCTACGTGCGTCTACGTTGGTGTAGGTGAGTGAATGAATGTAGAACTATGTAGACCGATGTAGACTTACTGCGTCTACATGGTGTGGACACAGGTAGACACAGGGTTCCATCTACCGTTCGTCTACGGGGGGTAGACGGACCCTCTGTCTACATGGGGTGGGAACGCAGTGAATGTTTCGCGCGCTAGATTATACTTTTCAGCTTCCTTCCAGGGACGGCGAGGAGATCCAAGACCACTAACCTCGGCAATTTCCAACAACGCGACGATGCCCCCGACAGTGGTCTTCAGGGGCGGGAACGCGTCCGTATATTCTTTCAGTGCAAGTAGGGAGGTCCAGAGTACGTCGGGGATGGCGTTGACTGTCGCAGGGTTCGCAGTGAGGCTGGAGGGCAAGGGCTCGCTTCACCCGCGAGGGGAAGGGAAGCCTCATGGGAGCGACTTGGGGCCTCGTAGGGTGTGCTGGGCTTATAAGTCCCGAGTAGGGCTGTGCTCGTAGCATTGCAGACGATTTTGCGTTCCACGTACAGCTCCGCAGCTCTGCGGCGATTGAATGAGAACTTTTTATTTGTACATAAGTAACATAACTTACGGCTCTGGGTGGGCATCAATCGGAACCCAAATAAATGATGTAGTGCCCACGCTTCGAGAAGACAGAATTGAACTGATAAGAACAGTAATATGTTGCCATTGACACTGCACAAGCAGAATAAGAGCAAAACAAAAATATGCACGACAAATTCACGCGGACACCGGGGGTCCGAGAACCCCGTCTGGCGTGTGTTTTAAACACTATGCATTCATTGGTCCGCTTCCAAGTCGAGTAAGTCGCGTAGATTTTCTGTATTATCGAACTTGTCGAACTGCGGTAAAAGAAGAGAAAAAACACAACATCGCCTATTGCACAGGTGATGCACAACTTCAGCACTTCGCGGTGGGCGTGAAAAAGACCGAGAGTGATGAGGCCTATGGGGAAACGGTCAGCAGAACGAGAAGAAAACTAGTACTACGTACGCTCTTACTTACCGGTACAAATGAGGTTGATACAGAGTGTGAGGGACACGAAGCCAATTGTGGATTTGAGGATTGCGTTTAGAAAGAAGGACCCGTCTTCGGCGTTCACTCTTATGAGTCCAACAATGCTCCAGGTAGAAATTGCTGTGCGGTGTCATCGCCCTGAGCAGTTAAAGTCAGGAGAATAGGAAGAGCATTATTGGAATAGATATAACCAACCAGCTTCTAGACCATACGATGAAAGTTTGGAAGATCTGATATTTTTTCCAAGTCAGGGCAGGTCTGACCCCAAATATATCATAGATACGTGAAGGACTTACGATGAAGGCATCGGCAACTGCAGTTAAGAGGCACCAGCAAGTGCTTGAAACGACATCTATCGTTGTGTTTGGCGGTCTGAACTCCAAGCCAGGGTTGTCTATGTGGCTGCTCGGTATCCGGGGTGGTCCTCAGGGGGGAAAGAGGCGACGGCGGGCTCGCGGCCCCGCGTAGAGGAGAAGTCGTCGGGGCCGTCGAGCGGGCGGTCGCGCGAGGTGGAGGGGGGCCCGATGTTGCCGAGGCCGCCGCGGCCAGAGGAGGTCTGCGTCAGGGTCGTCATCCACACCAGGAATGAGAGGAGCGACGGGAAGGGAATGTGCGTTAAAAACGAATAAAATTAGCAGGGAGAGACAAGGGACGCACGAGTGCTTCGCTGCCGCGCGAGGCGGATCGTTCTGCCATTTCTGGGCTTGTAAGTATCGCTTTGACCGGGAGGATGGAGGGAAGAGCTGAGGTGGGCGTCGGAGCAAGAGAGCTCTTTATACAGCCGAGATCTTCCGGATCTTGCAATTAGCCCAAATTACGTCATGTCACGCGCCGGCTTATGTCGGCTTTGTGGGCCGGCTTGTTCCGATCTGTTTTTCTCTTTATTTTCTCTTCCGACGTCGACGTGGACAGCCTCCGGAATTTGCGTAGCTTCAAGTGCGTCCGCCACCGCCGTTGCTTGCAATCCCCAGGCAGCTGTCGACATCGGCCGACGCCACCCGCCCTTCCAGGCACAGAACCACACGCGCCTTCGGTGGACATGGGACTCGACATGCTGAGTGCTGTTCACCCGCCGTGATACAATGTCCATTCTGCGATGCGTGTCATGATGTCCGCTCGTCACTATTGGCCGATGTTATGTGCGACGTCGCTTGGTGGGGACAGCGTGGATCCGTTTCGTTCCCCGCTGTATTTGCGTTCTCGGTAAATGAAATTTACAGTTTGGTTTTCTATATATCCCGTTCTATCCTGGGGTCCTGGAGTCTCGTTCCCTCCACAAGCTATTCTGTGAAAATCTGGGCTACTCTCCGCTGCCGCTTACTCTCCAGCTATGTTGTTCCTTGCCATACGATTCCCAATGATAGACCTGAATTTGTTCAAGATATTCACGCGATCCACAGAACAGTTCCCCGGGACGCAGGCAACCGGTATGTCTCGGAACTGCATATAAGTTATAACCGGGCTCTCACGCTCTTTCCTGCCTCCAAAACCAAACGCAAAAAGTCGAAGACAAATAAGAAGAAAAAAAGCTTCTAGATCCGATGCAAGCGCGGATGCGGGGAGTCGAACCCCGTCTGGCTGCTTCATACAATTGCAGCATACCTGCCAACGGATGGCAGCGGTGCACCGTGCACTACGTCCCGTGTGCTGGCCTTGTTTCTCTGGCTCATAGGTTGCTCGTGCTCCGAATCTGAACACCCATCCTCGAGCTCGGAGCCACCGCTAGTCTCGCTGATCTGACTCGGAATGCACGTTGGTCGCTCGAAACGCACGCTGGCCTCAAACTCATAGCCCTTCTGGTTCAGATTTCACAACGGCGGGCCTTCGCTGTTTTATCCCGCCCGCGGATCTATCTATTCTAAACCGGTGTGTTAAGAACTGCATATCACTACATTTTGATGGCCCCTCGGCCGACTTGATCGAGGTCGGCCGAGGTTGGCCGAGGTTGGCCGAGGGGGCTCGACCGGGTTGGTCGAGGGGAAGTTGGCCGAGGTCGGTTGAGGTTGGCCGAGGTTGGCCGAGGTTACCTCGGCCAGGTTGGGCGAGCCCTGATCTCTGTCCCAGCGCCCCTCCAGCATCCCCGGCACCATCGGCCGGCCTTCCCACAGCCATGTGAGTGTGGGAGTGCTGCAATTTTGAGTTTGCCGATGGGTTGGGCTGTGTGACAAATCAACCGATGTCGCGTGGCATGGCCAAATCAGGCCATAAATCCGGGATGCCTCTGGTGGACTGGAAAAAAAAAGGGCTTGAGGGAAAACCTAGAGTTGTGGGTTGTAAATATTAGTAGATGATACTTATGAACCCTTGCCGAGGTGCATTGGATTATGCTACGTTACAAACAGTGGGGGTCGCTTTCGGCGTTATGTCCCAATTTGGAGGGGCATTTCACACGTTGTGATGTATGTGCCGGATCAGTAGATCACTCGCCCTTTTGCGTTAATAACGGTTAGTGAGGAGCGGCATGAAGTTAAAATTGAGGTTGACCGACCTCGACCGACTAGGCCGAGCCAAGGGATTGGCCGAGGTTGGCCGAAGGCCTCGGCCAAGGGGTTGGCCGAGGCAGCCCCAAAATGTAGTGTATGTCATCCCCGCGATTGCGTTAGCTTTTCCTGCCTCCAAACCACAAAAAACAAATAAGAACCAAGAAATAAATGAAAAAAGCTCAATTTGGCGCTATGCGGACGCGGGGAGTCGAACCCCGTCTCGCTGCTTACTATTGTAGTACATACACACACATCAATGCATGGCAGCGGTGCACCGTGCACTACGTCCGCTTACTCTGACTTATAGGTTACTCTATGCAGTGCTCCGACCCATCCTGGATCTCGGATCCACGCTGATCAGATGAAGGCACGCTAATCCTAATCCTGGTCCATTTCTCCAACCAGAAATGCACACTAGCCGCCGACTCAACCAGCTCCTTCGACTCGAAATCCACGTCGCTGGTTTCGCAAACGCGTATGTAGCTCCACGACGGCGTTCTCTCCCGCCCGCGGATCCATCTATCCTAAACCCGTGTGTGTTATGTGTGTTATGTGTGTTCAAAACTGCATACCTATCTCATCGCCGCGACTCCGTTCTCTTTCCTACGTGCATACCTGCAAAACAGAAAACACAGATTAGAAATCGGAAAGAAAGAAAAAAAAAAGATCTCAAATGCGAATGCGGACGCGGGGAGTCGAACCCCGGCTGCTGCTGCTTGACAAGGGAGGAGGCGAAGTTACACATGCCAGCGGTGCGCCGTGCACTACGTCCGCTTCTTCTCTTGCTTTTTATGGCTTCTAAGTGAGCAGTTAAATAAAGGGGTTTTTGTGCAATTTGAAGGCAGCAGCGAAGGCGAACTCAGGCAAGAAGAATGGATCTATTATCTATTCGCCTTGAACCTACATACGTTCTTCACAGGCCGAATAAATTCCTGAGATTCAAAACAGCTGCCGCCCAGGTGAAATGCACCTCGAGCCGCAACGCAGACGCAGCCTGAAATTAAAATGACATTGAGGACCAATGAGGACCATTATAAACATGAGAATGTGAAAAGCGCACCAAGAAATCGCGGTATGCGATATCGAGCTGGGTCTTGATGTCCTGCACCACACGCTCGTTGCGGTTGAGGTGCATGGCCCGCGACATTCCGCCAGTCAGCGCAATTGTCTCCATACGGCATCGAACCTCGTCGAGCAGACTAAAACAAGTTTCAGTCGCTGCACCGTACACGGGAGACAAAAAAAAATCAACGCACACAGTCAAGCGTTCAACACTCTCAAGCATCTGCGGGGGAATGGCTGAGGCATCGGGGACTGCATCCGCGACGACGTCAAGTATTTCTTTGGTCCGCAAGGCGATGGCGCGTGCGTTGGACTTCGAATGCTTAGCGCGCTAAATTTAGCGGATACGTTTAGCTTCTCTCACATAGTGGCGGCGGTAGATCCACGAACCTCGGCAATGTCTAAAAGCGCGACCACGCCGGCTACAGTGCTTTTCAGAGGCGGGAATGTGTCCGCGGATTCTTTCAGTGCGAGTAGAGAGGTCCAGAGTACGTCGGGGAGGGCGCTGGCGGTCGGGGGATTCAGTCTCGGACTGGTGGGCGAGGCTTCCGCTTCGCCCGTGAGGGGAATGGAAGCCGCATGGGAGTGGCGTTGAGGCTGTCATAGGATGTGCTTGGTTTATAAGGTGCGAGTAGGGCTGTGTATACAGCAGTTGAAATATATTTAGGCCCTTGCGCATCTCCCATATGCATATTAATATTGAACAAAAACGTAAGCGCCTGTGCCAGTCTGCGCACCCATATTACTGATGCAACGCCCAAGATTCCGGGAGACAGAAGTAGACTGAGATAGCAACTCAACCCACCAGTGCGGAAGAGCCTGAGGGAGCTTTTGTCTGTCCTTTGGAGTCCAAGCCATGGCGGGAGTACCCAGTGCTCTCGAACGCAGCACGCCTTTCGCCAGGGAGGTCACTAGTCCGAATTCGGGAAGACCCAGGACTTGCGTAAATCGGGAACGTAGCGATGCACATGCCTTGACTGTGGTGGTGGGCAATACCCATTTGCTGATCGGTGACGACCAATGACTGTGCTTCGACGACAGTGGTAACGGTGACATGTGGTAGGCAACGAATTCAAGATCAGGGCATGGTCCGTGACGGACGGAGTCCGCGTGGATTGTCATGTCGAAGATGCACTCATAGAGTCCTAGATGAATATCCACGCAAGACTTGCAAGTTAACGTTGCCAGATGACGATTGATTGATCCGGCATCTGATTCTTTGTTCACCAGTCTCGTGATCACTGCCGCGTTCGTTGCGACCACCAGACGGTGCTCCTCAAGCATCCCCAAATCAACGTACATGACCGTGGAGTTCGCCTTCAGCTCTGCAGTAAGATGCTAGAAGACGAAACCGCATACATCAAATAACACGCGGTCGTTTTTTTTCGGATTCCTTGGTATATCCCGTATTTCCATCCTGCGTTGATGCATTTGTCCCTAGCTCTGATTGTTTTCTTCTATGAACAGGAAACGGACGTGTCCATTGCCTAGCAGGCGGAGGGATGAACGACGGGCACCGCCCTTGGATTCTGCGTCTGATAGCCCGGACTCCGCAGAAGAAGAGACTCTAGGAAATGAATTTGAAAACGTCGAGAGTCAACGACTCGATGACTAGACCCCATTACATCAGGCAGGATCACTTTCTCGCGCCGCGACGAGTAAACACGGTCTTTCAACCTCGTTCGCTCCCGGACAATCTCTCGTGCTTACACACCTCTTTCCCTTGGCGCGTCGACTCTGCAGATCCAGGCTGAAAGAGCGCGCGACCCATTCTCCCCGGCGAGCTGCGAGTTGACTGATCCCACATGTCTGCCATTCGTGCCACAATGGCTGCATCTAACTCCCCACAAAGCCTGCAGCCGACAACCGTATCGCGCCCGTCGGCACAGCATACCCGGACCGCCGTCGCATTGTGAAATCTTTCTCTGGCTATACTGAACGGCGACGGCAGCGGCAGCCTCAGTGGGTACGAGATCTCCGGACTCGGGAAAGAAATTGTGTACAAAGTTATTTATTCACTGTATCTGAGGTTGCAGAGATAAATAACCTTGACAAAGAAAAAATAGAGAGTGGGCCGGATGTGTTCCCTGGCTTGCGGCCCCGCAAGCACATTACCAACAGAAATTTAGAATCAGGGGCCGACCAAAAAAACGGTGAATCGAGAATAAAACAACACCCGAGAGAGGTCGTGTGCGAGAGTGTTCTAGACGTACGGACCCAGTCAGTTAACTCTTCATTCCAGTGATTCCACGAGGCGGATATGGAGATAGAAGTACTCACAGTCACTGCAGCAACCTTCCCGACGTCTATGTGGATTTGGGCATTTTGAGTTGCGAGTTGTGTTTGCTGCACGGTGAGCTGCGTTTGTTGCACTTCCAGCCGCAAAGCCGAGGCAGCCTGAAATTAAAATCCCATTGAGAACCACTACGACACTTGAAAAATGTGAAAGGCGCACCAAAAAATCGCGATATGCGTCATCCAGCTTGGTCTTAATGTCTTGCAGCACACGCTCGTTGCGGTTGAGGTGCATGATGCGAGAGACACCACCAGTTAACGCGATTATCTCCATGCGGCACTGGATCTCGTCGAGCAACCTGGCACCGGATGAGTATCTGCAACGTCGAAACTAGGAAAAATTGAACGCACACGGTGAAGCGCTCGATACTCTGAAGCATCGGCTGGGGGATCGCTGTGGCATCAGGGACTGCATCCGCGATGACATCGAGGATTTCATTGGTCCGCAAAGCGATGGCCCGGGCTTCAGACTTGGAATGCTTCGCGCGCTAAATTAAGCGTATACGTTTAGTTTCCCTTCACACAGTGGCGGCGACTACGAACCTGGGCGATGTCTAAAAGCGCGACCACGCCGGCTACAGTGCTTTTCAGAGGCGGGAATGTGTCCGCGGATTCTTTCAGTGCAAGTAGAGAAGTCCAGAGTACGTCGGGGAAGGCGTTGGCTATCGGTGGGTACGTCGTGGGGCTGGGCTTTCGCTTCACCCGTGAGGGGAAGGCGAACCGCATAGGCCGCCTCAGGGCCTCGTGGCGGATAGGCTGCCCTTATAAGGCGCGAGCAGGGCTGTGCGTACAGCAGTTCTAGACGCTCGACTCTCACGTATAGCTCTGCGATAGCTATCATGGAATCAGTCTAGTGTTGAGGACCATGATTAATCCAGTGCCCAAAATTCAAAGGTCGAATGGACTTGACAGGCTGCATCCAGAAAGAGGAAATTTGCTGTTTCGCCGCGCACAAACACGTCGATGCAGAAAGAAAATTGGCGCCGAGGGTTTAAGACAAGGCAGTGCCGACGAATTTCCAGAGGTTCCAAAATCGCCAGTGACAATAGAACGATCCGATAGAAGATGCAAAGTTTTTGGTGTTCTTGGTTCGGGCTGCACTTGCAGTCGGCATGCCGAGACGACATGACACGCAGCAGATTTAGACATTCCACATCAGAGCGCTGGGTGGCGACACGTAAACGCCCCGGGATAAAAAAGGAGCCGCATGCAAGACTACCTCCCAACCTCCGCGAAAATACGGAATTATGAAAGGATACCATCCTTGGATGGCGCAATCAGAGGTGGGCCCCAAACAGACAATCTAGAACAAAACATGACACGGCATGGGAGAGTTGTGGAAATTTCGGTCTTTGGAGGAGAGGAAATCAGTTTGAATCGAGTTCATACGAGCGGGATGCTTACAGCTTCTACAGAAACTTTGGCGACCGAGATTTGCGTGCTGGATTTTCGAGGCGCCGCTTAGACCTCCGCAAATACACGAGGTCTTGGTGCCGCAAGTTCGAAGGTGTAACGTCGAATGCCTTGTGAGATAATTCGCAATACGGGATACTAGAAATGTATATATACCAAATAGATAATCGTGCATGTTACGCAATGTATACGGTTTCGTCTTCTACCATCTCGTACTGCCGAGCTGACGGTGAAATGCTTTAGGCACGGAAAGATGATCGAACAACAGAAGCACGCACCATCTATCTCCCCGGATCGTCGTTTCGCAATGAAGTCTTCCGCCCGGCTCCAATAATCCCTCCCCACATGTACTCCCATTTGCCAGTCTTTGAAAAACCACGAGGAGCACATGACGACGAAGCGGGGATCTCTGGCTAAAGCATCCTCGTACTCCGGCGCCGGTGGCTTCCCGTCGAGGGAGACCAAGACAGCCAGAAGTTTGCAGTTCTGCAAGAAAGGAAGACACATGGGGATGAAGTCTTCGTCGTTGAATGAGAGATGGGTGAGACGCGGAAGAAGCGAAAGCGTTGAGCACCACATTGTTATGTCGTCCGGGATTGGTAGCGACATCAGCTCAACATGGGTTATCTGAGCGAAAAGAGGGTGGCGCGCCTGAATGGCAGGTAAAAGTGGGGAAAAATTCATGTAAAGTTGTTTCAAAGGTAGGGACACGGTTGACGACAGGTCGAGCAACCGCGCTGCTCGACCGACCCCGGATGCCCAGAGATTTTCCACCCGAGTGCATTTGGAAAGGATTTCCTTCATGGTGTCTTCGGGGACCGCATGGAGGAGCAGATTGCGGACAGAGTCACGGAAGAAATCCGCTGGTTTACTAGTAGATCGTATGGCAGATAACACAATGTCCGTCGTGAAGATGGGGTAGCCTTGGATTGGCGGAGTGCGGCTTATTGCGATCGTGCGATAAAGAAGTCGTTCTACCCTGGGAGCGATGAATATGAGAAGGT